TTAGCTACAGCCTGGCCCCCGGGCTTGAGCAGTAGGCACAGCTCCCTCTGCCCTGCCCCGAAGCACAGCTGTGTTTTCCACAAGGGACAGCAATCAGTCTCTCCTTTCCGAGTCAGATCCCCCTGCAGCAGCTGGAGGGGTCACGTTCCTGCCCTCCCTGCTCCGTGCAGTGACTCGCCCCATGCCAGCACTTTGCTCTGACAGCATTCCCACTTCTGGTTCTCATGCAGCTGCAGGGCACCCCTTGTCCCACTGCCCAGCAGGTTTCCTTTTTGAGCCCAAACGGGGAGCTAGCATGGAATAACCAGCACCAGCAAACCCAAGATGCATGGGAGTGGTCCCGTGTGGCAGTGCCAATCCCCAGTGCGGGTGCACTGGAGAGCCCAGTGATGTTCTGTGAGCCCGCAGCCCTCGGGACGAGCACAGCGCTGCCTGCCTGCTGTCCCGAGCAGCTGCCTGCAGCACAGATGCATTTAGCACTGGCACAGTCCTCTCAGAGAGCTAAACTGACTCCAGAATTGGTGATCCTATGGAAGGACTGGCTACTGCCTTGGACTTGCTCCTGAAGAACATCTTTGACACCTGAATTTATGAATAGAATAGAATAGAATAGAATAGAATAGAATAGAATATGGGATATTTCAGTTGAAAGTGATCCACAAGGATCACTGAGTCGAACTGCATGATCCCTTCAAGACTGACCAAAAAGTTAAGCTCGTTATTAAGAACATTATCCAAATGTCCCTTGAACACTGACAGCTTGGGGCACTGACCCGCTCTCCAGGACCCTGATCCAGGGTCTGACCACCTTCTTGGCAAGGAAAGCCCGACCACTGTCTCATTGAGATAGTGTGATAGCATCTCACTGCGGTATCTCATGAGATAGTGTGACCACTATCTCATTAGCCAGCTTCAACACAAGAGTAGAACTGGGAGAATCCACTCTTTGGGTGGGACGTGGGGCCACTGTCCGTTCTGTGCCATCAGCGACAGCATCGGGGCTCCTCCCGTACTGTCTGCGCTAACGAGCAGCGATGCTCGGCGTGTGCCGCGGCGGTCCCGGCAGTGCGCGCTGCACCCCGGCCTTCCCCGGCTCCCCGCCACGGCTGGGCAGCGGCAGCGGGGAAGGTTTCGGGTCGGGGGTCTCCTAGGGCAGCGTCCCGGCCCAGTTTTGTTCTCGGCTCCCGCCTGCGAGGCAGTGTCCGGGCAGCGGGGCGGCCGCGGGCAGGAAGGCCTCGCCAGGGCCACCGCCGGCGCCATCTCCGCTCCGCCCCTTCCTGCCCGGGGCCGGCGGGGAGAGCCGCTGCCGCCCGGGGGTTGCCGGTCCGTGCTAGCGATGCCGGAGGGGTGGGTTTCAGGGGGCTGCGAGAAGCCCTGCCCGCGGCTGGGACCGTTCTCCTTGTCAGTGAGCAGCTCCGGTGGCTGTCGGGCAGACCCCCCAGTGCCTGGTGCAGCCAGGAATGGGGAATGGGGAATGGGGAATGGGGCGTGCAGCCATCGCTCCTGCGCTGGGACGAGACGAGGATGAGGCCGTGGCACGTCTCTCAGTGCTGCCAGTGCCCAGGAGCACCGTTCTCCAGCCCCGCAGTTACCCAGCCCCGCGGCAGATGGCTGAACCGGCGGTGGGAGTCTGTGTGATCCTTTAGATCGCACCCAAAGCCTCTAAAGTGAATCCAGCCCGGAGTCTGTGTGATCCTTTAGATCGCACCCAAAGCCTCTAAAGTGAATCCAGCCCGGAGTCTGTGTGATCCTTTAGATCGCACCCAAAGCCTCTAAAGTGAATCCAGCCCGGTCGCACTGACCCGCCGAGTACAGGCGGGTCCCACCCATTGGACAGAGATGGGATGAAGTGGGACAGTGTAGGATCCCAGAAGATAAGGGGCTAATAATGTGTGTGTCTCAAGCACTGATAGCTGGAATAGCTGTGGAGCCATCCAAGGATTGTTGGTAATAACACCCCATTGGAAAAGAACAAGATGTGGCTGGAGAAGGGGTGATGCAGAGGGAGGGCAGCACTTTCCTGGGACAAACGTCCTTGTTCCAGCCTCTGGAGATTAGCACAACACAGGCCAGTGCAAGCACAGGAATGAGGCTGAGGAGGGAGCATCGGCTGTAGGAGGTGGTCAAAACCACCCATGTCCTTTGAAGCCCTCTGACCCATTTCCAGAAAGATCTGAAAGAATGGACTGCATGGGATGGGATGGGATGGGATGGGATGGGATGGGATGGGATGGGAGCAGAGGGCTCATCTAACAGTGATTCATTCCTCTGTTATCTTACTCCAGTTTCTGGTTCTTAACAGCTCTCAGAAAATGGAAAAGGTTCTAAACACTTGGAAAATCTCTTTTACCTGGGAAATTCCTGGGTGCTTTGAATTTGGGAAAAATGAATGTTCTGATGCCTCAGGAAGTGTCCTGATCCCTAACAAGAGACGAAATAAGCGGGGATCAGCCTGAGGCAGCGATGGGCTTGTGTTTCCCTCTTCTGTGGAGTTTTGGGCTAGAGAATGCTCATTGCCCTGCACAGCAACGCCGCGAGGGTCACTGCCCTCGGGACCTGTGCCGCTTTTTTTCAATCGGTTTAAAAATACATTTTAGAACTCACTTCAAGGTTTCAAACAGTGAACTATGTGATCAAATGGTGTTTTACTGAGGCACTTGGGCACAGCTCCACAGCTCACCCTCCCCTCCCAAGGGCAGCCAGGCACCTTCTGGATTGAAATGCTCATTAAGAGCTCAGGACAGTGGGACAACCACACCCATAAATTTCTTAATTCACTAATCCCTGTTAAAATTATGAGTAAGATGCCTGAGCTGCCAGAACAGAGCTCCTGCATTTCCATGCAGTGTCAGCTCCAGCATCCTCCAGCAGAATTACAGATGGCCCAACTGTCTATGGCACTTGGCAGTATCCATAAAAACATGGACCCTGTAAAAACGAGTAAAACCACAGACACACAACTCTGCTGCTAGATATGGCATCACCTGAAGGCCAGCAATGGACAATGGAGAGCTGGACATGATTCCAGCCCCTAGGAGCACCTGGCTGCACTCAGGCCCTGCTGGCCTCTGTAGGGAGCACCAAACCCCCAGGGCATTCAGAGGGTTGGCTCACCCACTGCGGCAGCTGGGACACTGGAATTCAGGTGGTGCCTTGGAAATAAAGCTGTTTGCATAGAGATGCTCATGGGAATGAGCAATGAGCAAGGGGATGAGGAAAATTCTTCACAGCTGTTATGGGCTAGGTGAGCAAAGCCCATAAACAACTGGGAGAGGGAACATGGGCACAGAAAGTGGTGTGGACGAGCTGCTTCAGGGAATAGTTATTTTGTTTGGAAAAGGCCTCCAAGATCATGGATCCACCCTCTGCTTCCATGCTCTGTAACATGACAACACTGGTTTCAGGAAGGGAGGGAGGCCCTTCAGGTTGCAGCTGCCAGTGTGTAGGGTGTGCAGAAGCACAAAACCCATCCTGTACCAAAGGACATCCCAGTGACTAGAGGCTCATTTAAACCTGAGCTGAGTGATGTGGGGAGATGTCCTTGGCATCGAGGAGCAGTGTAAAGGTGTGTGAAGCTCTGTTCTGCCCCATCCTGCAGTACTCCCAGGACTTGATCTTCTACTTTCTGGCTGAAGCTCTGAACCATTAAAGCCTTGACCAATATATTTAAACTTAAAGAGGGCTGGTTTTAGGGGGCAGGTTCTTACATGGTGCATTGTGATGAAGGAAACAGGTCTCTTGTTACACTTTGAGACACTCAAAAGCACCAAGTGACAGTTTAGGATGCACGCCTGGGGCCTCCCAGTGTGTCACTGCACTTCTAGCTGTGTCAGAGGCCAAATATGGCAGGGCTGAGTGTGTCAGTCACACACAGCCCTGTGTGTGACAGTCCTGCCTGTGGCATACACAAGCAGTGGGCAAGGGGGATGATCCTGACAGCCCTTCTTCAGCCATTCAACAATAGCTGCCTCTCTGTAGAAAAACTTGAAACTGAAGTTTTTTGGCTTCATGAATCACCCTTTTCCTCCACAGGTGATTCTGAAGATTTTTGCAGACAGATGAAGTCTGAGTTTTAGTTTTTTGCTCAAAGACAAATTCCCTGCCACACCACCAAATGTAACGGATTCAAAATGCTGAATTCACCATAAGGGAGTTAAAATCCCACCTTAGTTGGAAGGCCCTTTGTGAGCACTCTGTAGGAAGCTTTTGCTCCTGAGGGAAAGGTGCCACTTGGCCTTTGAACACTCTGGGAATAGAGGTAATTCCAAAAGCCCCCAGCCTGTTTGTTTAACCCCTGCCAGAGCCTTACATGGTGGGGCAGCAAGGTTCTGCATCTCAGCCCGGCTCACACTCTCTGTGTGTTCCTCTATGGCCTCTGCATGGGAGGAGGTTGGTGGGGCTGTGCAGTGTTGGGGTTCATGGTCATTCAGGGCCTCAGTGTCCCCCCACAGCTCATGTGCTGCTGTGATCTGGTTCTTGGGGATGTTCATTACCATCCCCTTGGTGTCACAGCAGGGAAAGGCTGCTGTGAGCAGAGCTGGTGACTTTAAAAGCAGAAATTATACAAATAGAGAATCATAGGGCGCTTTGAGCTGGAGGTGACCTTTAAGACCATCTCCTTCCACACCCCAGTAAACCCCCCAGGTGGTTAAACCCCCACTAAGATCATGTTACTGAATAGAAAGAAGCTCGCTCTTTTGGGTTCTTTAGACAAGGACCAGCCGCGGTGTGTATCTGGTTGCCCTCACCCGCACACCCAGCCAGGCGTTGTTCCGCGGGTCGCACCGCACTTGCGGCCACTTCTCCGGGCTTCCTCGCCCTTGGGGAGGCCCGGAGTGCCCCGCTCCCGCGGGGATCCCGCTCCTCGCTCGGGCTCTGCCCGCTGTCGCAGACACCCCGAGCGCCCCGAGCGGGGTCCCCCCTTCCCACAGCCGCCGAGCGCTCCCCGCTCCCGGTGCCCGCGCACCGCCCCCCAGGCCCCCCCGGCGGGGCGGGCGGGGGCGCTCGGGCTGGGGGCAGCTCCCTCCCGGCAGGCGGGGGTTAACAAAAACACGCGTTTTCCGCCGAGCCCCCGCCGCGCCCCGGCCCCGACCGGGGAACCCCGCTCCGCCGCGCTCCGCTCCGCCCGGCCCGGCCCTGCTCGGCCCCGCTCCCTCCGGGCTGACGCAAGGCCGGGCCCGCCGGGGAGGCCGCGCCGGGCTGTCACCAGGGGGCACCGCCGCGATCGCCGAGCACCGGGAATCACCATCCTGGAGGGACAACAACAACAACAACAACAGAGAGCCCCGGCCCGCGGCGCCGGCGGGCGGCGGGACCTGGCCATGGCCCCCGGCTCCGGGCAGCGCTTCCCCGTCCTCCGGCACCGCTCGCCCGCCCCTCTGGAGCCCTAAATCCACTATCACGGTTTTGTAGCGTTTTTTATTATTTTGTATTATTTCTGGTTTTCCGCTGCCCCCTTCCTCCTCCGTGCCACCCCTCTCGGCGCCTCGGCCCCGCCGCGCTCCGCTCCGCTCGGCCGGGCGGGCGGGCGGCCGCGAGCGGAGCGGATCGGCGCGGTCGGCGCGAACATGGCGACGGTGCCCGTCTATTGCATCTGCCGGCTGCCCTACGACGTGACCCGCTTCATGATCGAGTGCGACGCCTGCAAGGACTGGTTCCACGGCAGGTAACGCACCGCGCCCGGCACCCCGACCCCGGCCCCGGCCCCGCCGTCCCCGGTGCTCCCGCCGCCGCGCTCCCTCCCGCAGGCCTTCCCGGAGCGGGGAAGGAGGAGCCGCGCTTCCCGGCGCCGCTCCCGCGCTCCCCGCGCACTGGTTTTGTGTGTTTTGTGGGTTTAGGGCTGGATTCCCGACACAAAGCTGCTCCCCCCGCGGTGACACCGGAGCCCCGGGGTGGCGGGGGCCATTGTGCGCGCCCGCGGAGGGGATGGGGCCGCCTTGCGCCGTCCGCCCGCGGCTCCGCGCCGCGTCCCTCCCGGAGCCGGGCCCGGGGCGGGGAGCGAGGGGCCGCGGCGGCGGCTGCGGGGCTCGCGGGCGGGGCGGAGGACTCGGCTTTTCGGCTCGTTTCTCCCCCAAGCGCCTCCCGGCGCGCAGACAATGGGCGGCCGCGGCGGAGTTGCGGCGGGCGGCGGAACTTCGGTGGCGCCTGGTGTGATGAGGGCGAGGGCGGCGACTGGGGACCGAGAGCCTCAACAGCCACCGCACCGCCTGGGCAGCCGTGCCGGCGAAGGGGATCGCTGGGCGAAAGGGGGTACATGCGGGGACAGCCCCCCGACAGGACCCCTCGCTCCCTTCGGGTCTGACGGAGGAGGAGGATGGAGTGTCAGCGGCATCGCAGCAATTCCCCGGGAGTGATTGAAGTGTAAAAAGTGCAATTAAAATCAGGTAAATCACCTGGATGAGCGCTTTTTACGACAGCGATCCGGTCAGGTTAGGCTGTCGCTCTTTCATCGCAACCAGCGCCCAGCAGTGTCTCCCAACAGCGGGCGGAGGCGAGAGGCTCTGCCTGGTGCGGCTCGCGGATGCTCGAGCGGGCACTGGGGCATCCGCGGATCTTCCGTACGCAGAATAAACTATTCAGGACGATTTGCCGTGGCGTTAGGAATGATGTTCTGCCGTTTATTTTAGAAGCTGTGTAGAAGCAGGAAGGGAAATACAGAAACAGACAGTCCTAGTGCCAGTGCTGGCAGGAGGGTGCTCCGCACGTGTGTCCGGGACAGGAGGCTCGCAAGAATCGCACTGGCCCGTGCCACTGAGGACTCGGGCACAGAGGGTGAGGTGAGGCTGGAGACAAGCCTCAAGCATGTGCACTGGAAACTTAGAAAGTTGAAGGACATGATAAAATTAAGATTTTCAGGCAAAGTAATGACAGAGTGAATTGCTGAAGAGTAAACAGCACAAGGAGGTAAGCTGCCTGCACAGGATGCTGAATGCCCACTGAAACTGACAAAGAGAGGTTGCTTGTAGCTGATCAACCAAATGATCATGTTGTGGGCAGCTCAGGGTCAATAGCAAGAGAAAAGGTGTTTAATTTTGTGGCATAAGGGGCAGAATTGATTTGTAGTGCTGCTGGCGGCGGGGGGTTGGGTTTGTACCCTTTTTCCTTAGTTTACAGTAGTGCCCAGAGATTGATGTTAGAGAAAGAAAACTGAGAAGGAGTTCACTTTTCACAGTGTCAGAGCCTGAGATAATAGGATCAGAGAAGTTCATGGAGTATTAGGAGCAAGCAGCTTATCTATGACACTGTTTGCTTTTCTTCATAATATATAAGCAAATAAATAGAGGAAAAAAAAATCAGGATTTAATTGTGTAAAATCGTGTCTGTCCTGGACACTCAAAGCGCTGATGTTAATGTTCATATGAAACTGCAACAAAAATATTCAATGTTACATGGTACTGCAACAAGAACTACAATGTTACATAGGTTCCCAACCAAACACGAGCCAGCCTGCCGAGCTGCGCAGCGCTCAGGAGGATTGCCTAGTGTTTTAATGATACTTCTGTTTCTTTTTAGCATGATGTACAGTGTGCAGTTCAGAAAAAAAAGGTGTAATTTCATGGGTTTGGTTTTGTAGAAGCAGATCAGGTGTTTTCATGTTTCCCTTCTGACAGGGGTTCCCAAATATCTAAAATAAATATTTTTCATGGGTTATCCCTGCAGCAGTCACAGTCTCCCTTTTGTCTAAGGCTGGGCAATGTCTCTGTGGCAACTTCAGCAGTTCTGGTGGCAAATTGATATTTTCAAAGTACCTAAAGTGTGTTAAGCTTATGTAATGTAGTTTAGAAGTTGGACACAGGACAATGGAGCCCTCTCCACTTCTGGGACAAATGCACTGGGGACCCTTGGACACTGCTGAAGTGTGCTGAGCCGTGGAGCTGTTGGTGTGTTCACAGAACCCTGTGAGTCCTTGGGAGACTGAGATTTGATGATTCCCGTTCTCTCCGTTTGCCTGAGCAGCTTCCAGCTGTCTGGAAAAGACAGACATGATCTGAGAGGCAAAGGACACCAATGCCAAAGTGGACACAGGGCTGTTTGTGTCCTCTCCATGTGCAGGTCAGGTGTTCTCTGGTGTGGCTGCTTGGGCTGATGAAGTTCCACACACCTGAGTACTCTGCTTTGAGCAGCCAGTCTGGTGCTCTGTGATCTCCTGGCCCCTCCATCGCCTGTGCTGGCTCTTCTCCCCTGGGTCCCATCCTGAGGAGGAGTCCTGGCATTGTTCTGCCGGGTAGCAGGGACGGCCAGGGTGCAGGGACTGGTTGGCATGGGAACTGGCTCTTTGAAGACCAGGAAAAGAGGAGGAAGAGGGAGTGTCTTGATGTGTGAAGAAGCTGACACTCAGCAGATGCCACGGGTCACTCTGCTGCCTCAAGGGCAGGCCTGGCTGGACAGAAAAATTGGTGCCAGCTGTGCCACAGGCAGTGGCACAGGATTCCTGGGCCAGGGTTCCTGGGCCAGCCACATGCTGCTCGGGCACAGGTGAGGTAGGACAAGGGGGTTCAGCTCTCTGGTGTGAGCAGCTCTGCCTTCTCCTCAGCTTGCAGGTGATGCTGCTGGCTGTCTGTGCCCCGTGACACCGTGCTGCCCCACAGGGACACCCTCCATTCCCCCTTCCTGGGAGCAGCTTGCTGGCAAGTTGCTGGGGGCTGGGAAAAGCTGTACGTGATGACAGGTCTCTGAGTGTCTCATCTGCAATGGAAACGTTACAGAACCTTGTCTCCAGACAAGTCTTTTTGTACCAGTTTGTTCAACTAGAAATCTGTACAGGGTTACTCATTACAGCTGTAGGTGAGGGGAGGTAAATTATTCATATTCTCTGCAGTATTTTGTTACCTGTTCTTATAACCTGCTGTTGTAGGGTGGGATCATGCTCACTCAATGACATAACAAGTATTGATTTTATTACCCTGTGTATATTTAAACTTTGAACCTTCTTGCTCCAGGACTAGCAGTGGTCAATAACTTTAGTTATAGTAAGGTTTAGTTACCAAAAAGCAGTTTGTGCAGTTATCAGAGCAGCCTAAAGTGATGGTGGGAGTTACTCAGGACGCCCTGGCACACAGAGTAAACATGGCTGGGTTAAGAAAAGCAAACTGCTACACTGCAAAGCTAAACTCTGTGTGTGGGCAGATTTTATACTCATAACAGAGCATTCAGCATTTTCCCTTTCAAAAACAGGTCTGGTTTTATACAGCAGCATCTAATTCCACTCTTTTACCCAGGTTTATCTCTAGCTATGGGCAAATTTGGAAATTTGGGTAAAATTTGAAGATGAGGATAATCCTAAAACTAGAGTGCTATTTGCTTTGGTTTTGTCACAGCAGAGGGAATCCCTGAGGTTAATTGTGCTGTGCCCAGAATTATTTCCTCTCATATACTGAGTTCAGCTAGGACCAAAGTGTGTAAGTTTTTCAAATAACTAAAAATCTCAGGTTATTTCAATTTTTCCTGAAGAGTTAGTTGACATGAGTGACAGGCTCAGTTCTTTTGGGAGCCTGCCCACAACACATAACATGAATGAGCCATGCTAATGCCTATACTAGAGTGCTTTTGAAAAATCCAAGTCTAAGTAATACTGGGAGTGGAAGGGCCTACACGAACCTCCTGGTACCTGAGAGCCGGTGTAGATCACAGAAGATTTTTGTATATAAAGATTCTTCCAATTCTAGAAGTTTTTACCCAGATTTTAGGATAAAATGTTAGACTTATTCAACACAATTCATATTTAATTAAAAAAAGACAAAAATACTGTGGTTTAATGATACTCTCCAGCAGCCCAAGCCTTCAGCTGCACTGTTTTGTGAGCAGCCCTGTGGGCACCTAGGTACCTGTTGAGCTCAGCATTAGCAGGATGTCACAACACAGAAATGGGTTCTGCATGGAAAGGGGAACTTTTTCCTTAGTGCTGAGTAGCTCCATAATAAAGGAAATGGGTAAAGATGTCTTCACAAAAGTTAATCAGAGGAATGTAACTACATATGGGGAGATACCAGTGAAGAGAAAAAGTGTTATACAATCACTATAAGGCTTTCCAAAACTCAGAGGCCACCATCTTTAATATTACCTTAATGTATTTTCTTCTTTCTGACCAATGTAAATGTTGTAGTAGCAGCGTAGTGTATTTACACTGAAAACTGAGTGTGTTCTCCTTGCCCAAATAGCCCTCTCTTGTGTGGCAGCCTGGAGGTCTACAGTTCTCAATATATTTTATTAAAATATGGTTTGTGGCATCAAGAGTGTCTTGTGAAGGTGCTCTGAAGCAGTGCTGGAGGTTTGTTTGTGCTACATGTGAGCTGATGCTTTGGAATCACGTGGGTTTTTCATAGTGACCATGCCATGCATCTTATCAGTGACTGATAACTCTGTAACGTGGGTGTACCTTATCAAATCTTACACTGGCTGACTGATACCAATAGTAATTAATTTCCAGAGTTTTATCTGAAAAAAAAATGAGCCTGTTCACAGTCCGTTTTACGACTTTATGCATGGCTGTTTTTGGATGCTACCTGGCTGTTCCATCCAAGTACCTCTGGTATACAGTGTAATGGCAATAACAATGTGTTTGGCAAATCTCACCAGGTCTCTCATGTAGATTTGTCCTGGGGTGTTGGTCCCTCACCCTGTGTGATGGCTGAGCATCTGCCCCCCACCAGAAGGGCCCTCTCTGTG